TAACGGTGATAATCCAAAATTTGTTGTGATTTGGGAGTTATATGCTAGTGGAAACAATTTAACATCTTCTGAAATTTCAGCAAGTTTTTTATTTCAGCAAGTCTCCGTTAATGATACATCGGAGATTTTCTTGTAATGAACAGTTCATTCATTCAATTAGTTCATTTGTCTATGGAACATGTGAGGTTCTATGTGTGTTTGATATTATTTAAGTGGCATAATAAAGTTCTTTCATGGTTCATGAATTTTTCTCCATTGTTTGTAACAAGGATTTCGAGTTTTCCAGTGTTCATATAGTGTCGTGTATGCATAACAGGATTAAAGGCTACGTAGTGTGTAAAAGCGTCTACAAGGACCATTATCTATGAATTTACCTATGAAGATGGCGATATAAGGCCTTCCGTGTCAAATGAAATTCTTTGACTGAAAAATAAGCTTTGTCCTTTAGAATCTTGTCTTTCTGCGATTTGTCTGGAAAGATTTTGTTTTATTGACATATAATACAGTCGTTACAAATTATTTAAAACCATATTGATGCATTTGGGAAGTAAAATTTTTGTGTAAAATTACGATATGTTTTTTTACTCCATTATATATCTTTTTGTATTAAAGGAGTGTGATGTATGAAATGCTTTTAAGAGTAAAGTTTGCGTCAGTACTTTGTCAGTACTGAATGTCAGATTAGATTCTATTCCGAGCGTGTATAACTTTCATTCGCTTAGTTCATTCATTAAAACTCAAGGGAAATTTAAATATTACCTCGCCCCACTGCATTTCTGTACCAAGTTTACAGACCGATATCAACGATCAAAGAGAAACCCGGAACAGCAACGGCGCCACCTAGAATAATTTAATTGGAACAAGCCGTTTGAGTTAATTGGACCATGCCGTTTGTGGGGAGGATGTTAACTTGGTTCTAAGTTGGGATTTTTCAGCCAATCAGAATCGAACAATTTACATGCAGCGCTTGGCAAATTTGTTTTTAAATTAAGCGCTGGGGTGGAAGATCTTAACTTGTTCTAATGAAGGGGGGTGTCAACTTGACCTATTTAACCTAACTAGTCGAAGAATGCGGTAGGATTTGATGAAACATTACGTTTCAAGTCAGAAATCAGAATACCACCAATTTGGAACAATCACCTTCAATTTTAAATTGAGCCGAGCAACTCTTGGTTTGGATGAAATCAGATGCAGAAGTTTTTAAAGCAGCAAATGAGATCAAAGAACAGGACAAGACTAAAAAACAATTTCTTACAACAGTAACTGGCTCTCATTTTTGTTTTTCCGTCCACTTAACTTTGTTTGCAAATCCCAAAGTTTTGCAAGATTTGCGTTTTCTTTGAAAAAAAATTGCATGGATATTTTTTTTCTAGTGAGTACATAAGGAAGGGAGTTCAAAAGGGAAACTGGCATCCTCCAAGCTATTAATTAAGGACACGCCTGCCACTCAAACGGTCCCCCACCATTGTTTGTTTTTGATTTATCATTCTAATATTAAAAATTTCCAAGATAACTTTGGTGTAAGCGTACATACATTTTGAGGGAGGATAGCGCCAAACAAAACAAACCATTTTATTGGCCAGAATCAGCAGCGGATCTAGGATTTTCTCGAGGAGGAGGGGGCGGATTTCCAAAAATTTTGATTTTTTTTAGGTCGACCAAATTAATTTTCCAAGCTCTCCTAAAGCACTAAAAAGACGCTGTTTTGGCCAAATTTTCTGCGCCGCTGGTAAATTTTTGAAATTTGAAAGGGAGGTCAAAAAAGCAGTTTTTGGGCTCTTTTTCAAAAGCTTTGACAAAAAATGGCGTTTTTTTGGCGCGCGCTCCCCTTCAAAGTTATTATATTTTGGCGCCAAAGGCGCCTTTAGAAACTTTTTAGGGTCAGTCGGCCAAAAATGGATTTCTAAAAAGTACCAAAGGGGAGACCCTTTGGGTCGGCAGGGGGTCGAATCCCTGAGGAAGAAAACGTCCGCCCCATAAATCCGCCCCTGGTCAGGATAAGCATGGAAAGTCTTCAAAATTTTTAGAGCACAAATGCGCCGAAGATTCCCATAAAAAATATTTTATCAAATTTGAGTGTTATACAAATTACCAAATTGTGGGACTCTTTGGTCGACAAGTTTGTCAAATTTCCGAAGAAGATGAATAGTCAGGTACGCCACCAATTTTCGTCTAAGAAGCTGCCAATTTTTCACTTTTTTAAAAGACTGGGTGATAGTTTTCGAATTCAATCTCATAAGTGAATCTAAGGAACAAACTTGAGACGAATCTCAAGATTTCCTTCGGCTGGCAACCCGCGGTTCGACAATCATCCGAGTAACTCGGAGTCTTAATTTTTCGTGAAAATACTTTCAGAATTATCCATGGTAGATTTTTAAGAAATTCACTTTAGATGTCTTGTGAGCTTTGCTTTTTAAAAGTACCAGACAATTGAGAAAAAATAACCTTTGCAGTTTAAACTCAAAGATTACTCCTTTATAAGAAATGTTTCATTTGTAAGCTCAAATTTTTTTTTTATTTTGAGCCCTATAAAAGTGTTTCAGGTTTTGAAGTATTTCAGTTAATTTTCCAAATCACTGATTTACGTCGTTTCAACAATTCTAAGACTTAAGACTTCTCAAACAAAAATATGCAATACATCTGCATATTTTTACAGTGATGATTCTGCTATCGGAGTTTTTTATAAACTTTGTCTCAATGTCAGGGGCGGATTTAAGGGGGCGGAAGCCCCCCCCCCTCAGGGATTCGATCCCCTGCTGACCCAAAGGGTCCACCGTTTGTACTATTTTGAGATATCCAAATTTGGTGACGGATCCTAAAGTTTTTTAAAGACACTTTTTGCGCCAATGTTAACTTATTTTGAAGGAGGGCGCCGAAAAACCGCGATTTTTGGTCAATATTTTCCAAAAAGTGTCTTTTTTACCTGTTTTTTTTAACATTAGCTCAGGTTAACGCAATTTCACATAAAAATTGGGCTCTTTTCCAGTTTCCCATCTCCTTGCGAAAATTAAGTTGCTTAAAAACTGTTCAAACGGCATTTTGCATGAAACAAAAGTTGTCAGAATGTGTTCACTTGTTCACGTTTTAAGGCAGTTTTAAGGTAGTTTATAGTAAAAAAAACTTCATTTTAAATTGATTTCCATATATTAATTTTCAGAAAAATCCAAAAGGGGGAACTGGAAATAGCCAAAAACTTAGACACCAATTTTATGTGGCCGTTTTTTCGAAACCGATACATTATACAGAATTAATTTTCAAATTTAAACACGTGGCTAGGGGGGACATTCTACGGTTGATCACTTAGGGCGGGGTAAATTGTACGGTTGATCCGTTCATAATAACAAAAATTACAGAGCTAACCATAATTGCATGTGAAATTACACTCTCTAAATGTAAATGGAAAGTTTCGTACTAATCCCGGCCTGTCTTATGTAACTGAACTTTGCAATTGGTTATGTCTAATTTCAACTAATTTCAATCTTTACCACGTCATTACCACCATCAGTTCTTCTACCAGAGCATTTACTTCGGATTAAAATTGCGTAGCTCTGCGTGTAAGAAGGTCGAGTGTGATTGGCTGAAAAAAATCTAATTTGGAACCAAGTTTACATACTCTCCCTAAGATGATTTGCAGGTGGGTGTTTCAAACTTGTGGTGGGGAGCGGACGCCTCTTAGGGATTCGATCCCCTGCCGACCCAAAGGGTCCACCCTTTGTACTTTTTTGAGATATCCCATTTTGGTGACGGACCCTAAAATTTTTTTGAAGGCGCCTTTGGCGCCAATATTAACTTATTTTGAGGGAGGGCGCCGAAAAACCGCAATTTTTGGTCAATATTTTCCAAAAAGGGCCTTTTTTTTACCTAATTTTTTTAAAAATGTTTCTAAAATGTTTCCAAAAATTTGGCCAAAACAGGGACTTTTTAGTGCTTTGGGAGAGCTCGAAAAATCAATTTGGTCGACCCAAGAAAAGGTCCGTCGACCAAACTTTCGAAATTTTTTTGAAAATCTGCCCCACCCACCCCCTCGAGAAAATCCTAGATCCGCCCTGAATGCACTTTTCTAGTTTTTAGAGCATTAAAATATTTTTTTTTCAAGAGCAAACATCATTAAGGCCTCTATAGGTGAAAAAAAAACGTTCTGTTACACATTGTAACAGAACGATTTTTTTTTATTTATAGAGGCCTTAATTTAATGATGTTTGTTCTTGGAAAAAAATAACTTACACTCAACAATAGCCTCAATTTTGGGAGCTCTATTTAGCTGGACGGCTATAATAGAAAAACCCAATATACATTACTTTCTACCTTCCAACACCGGAACAAAAAAATCTGCCATAAACTTACTTTTTTTCCAGCATCTAATGATATCTAGATCAATATCATAATAAAGTCAGAGTATTTCTAAGTCTCGACCATCGGAACAAAAAACCTCATTCACGAAATAATTTACTTAAATTTTTTATGACTTGAATTGGGTGAAATAATGTGTCATAAAATTGCTTCTAAACTCAAAACTGGTTTTCAAACCATATACCATCAAATAAAAAAGTAAGCACATAGACAAGCAAAAAATGAATATAACAGACAGAAATGAATTCGGTTCAGCTGCGCGAATAAAGTTCGAGCTGTCTAAATAAATCTCAAACATGTCACTAAAAAATTTAAAGGTTTAAGCGCGCGTTTTTTTGTTCACAGAAAAGGCTTCATAGCGTTCCATAGTTGTGTCAAAATAAGCTTGCCATCTCAAACTGAGAAGATCAACCTGAAATTACTGCAATATGATCCGTCACACACGGAAATGTATGCACCGAAAGATGTAAAACATCAATTGATCTGAACTAATACCCATACAAACTTCCAAACCCTTTTTTTGAGATAACAGAAAAGTTTGAATTCTTTGAACGGTCCAGTTTTATCTTCGCAGTTCAAATCTGGCTTAGGATGGAAAAAAGAGGTCGATGTTTTGAGATAAAGTCAAAGTTTGCCATCATAATAGCGAGCTAGGTTTCGCCAGCACTTGTTGACGCATTGCCCGTAGATACGGATCGTCTTCTGCGAGAGCGCTTGCGCTTCGCCGGCATCTGCTCGTTGTCAGAGTCTATCTTCTTTGCTTGCTTAAAGTCTAGATGACCTTCGTCCATCAGAGCTTTTTCTTCAGCCTCTGAAAGCTGCTTTTTCTGGCCTTCCGCTAATCCTATTCATTGAATAAGAAATATTACAAACTTACGTTAATTGTTCAGAGTTCAAAAAACTTGCGCAGACTGACTTTAATGAAATTACTTTAAGGGACTTGGTTTTGTCTTACCCTTGAGTTTGAGAGCCAAGTCGTTATTTTCTGCAATTTGGTCGTAATATTTTTGCATCTTGCCAACCGCCTTGACTTTGTCCAGGAGCATTTTGTTGTTGTTTTGGTGCTTCGTTTCGGAGACGTTTGAATCAACTTTTGAGAGCTCTTCCTGAATTTTAGCTACTTTTTGAAAAAATCAATAAGCATTTAAAATATATTTTTATATATAGTTTAAACTTACTTCTGTGCAAACTTGGATGATGGTGAATAAAATATTTGTGATCATTTTAGCGGCGAATGGAAGCGACCACGATAATCCATTCTGGAAGTTTGGTAGCCAATACGGATGATATGACTCTGTGAATGTCTGAACGAAAAAAAAACAGTTTGTCAGAACAAATCTTCCCCAAAAAATTATTTAACTTATAGGGAACTAGAAGAGAAAAGTTTTACAATAAAGTCACCTTGATATTCAATTGACCTTTGTCGTAGCACAAAATAACAGCCTTGTTGTTGTAACTGTCACAATAGTTGGGCGCGGAGAAAATTGTAATTAAAGAAGGGAATTTAGATCTGTGACTTCGTTTGTACATTTCGTACCCGGCGTCTTTGGCTTCGTGGCCTCTTATAATCGAGAGGAGATTGTTGGCTTCTAGGAATTCACACACTGCTTTGTATGTGTAGTAGTATGATATTCTTCGGGCGTCGTTGTGCAAAAAGTATTCGCCGTCTTTAGATTCGGCCCCTTGAACCCCGTAGTTTTTGCAGGGGTCCGACCAGAGCAAGTCGGTCATTGCATCACCTACAAAATACAAGCATGAAATGATTATAGTTAGAGACAGGGGATAGTCTATGATCTTTTCAAAGCGAAGTTTAAAAAATCCATAAAAAATGTTTTGACCATTTTTTGGGTGACAATTTAATTTGCAAAATCGGTTCACAGACCCTATTTTCCCGACCGAGAGTGTTTGTGAAGAACGCAATTGAGATCAGAGACAGAACTTTAAAAAACATTTTTAGGTCGACCAAACTGATTCTTCGAGCACTCCCAAATCACGATCAAGACCCTATTTTGCCAGTTTTTTGTAAGGCCGGCAATTTTTTGAAATAAAAGGACAAAAAAATCCTTTTGGACGCTTTTTGAAAGCTTTTGTCCAAAAGAACGCGTTTTTTTGGTGTGTGCTCTACCCTCAAACATAGTTTATTTTGGCTCAAAAAACGTCTTCGGAAAAACTTCAAAGTTTGCCTGATCAAAAATTGATGTAAAATGGTACCAAAGAGCGCCCCTTTAAGGCGGTCAGGGGGTCGAATACCCGAGCAAATTTTGTCATCTCTTCATTTTTTCGGTTGAAAGATATCTTAAAAACACGCTCAGGGGAAAAACCGTAGCTATTTGTGCGAAAATAGGTTTTTGTCTTTGGTCTTATTTAGTTCTCTTAAATTTTCACCTGATCGAACAAATTTTTAAATTCCATATATTTTTGTTCTCTAAACTATATTGATTTTTCCTTTAGTAACAAAAAAAGGAAAATATCTTACCTTTTCTGTTGTGCTCCTGGAATCTGTTGATGCCTCTGACGTCCTCTATCGTTTTGAATCTAGGAGATAGACCCCCGTGACAACAGAAGAACTGTTTGTTCACAATTGCAGCCAGAGGCAAAGCATCGAATGTATTCATTACTTCATTGTACACTGAGTCAGAGTATTTTACAATGCACTCCTTCTTGAAGGTGAAATAGTCTGTTAGATGACGACATTCATGGTTTCCTAAACCAAGCGGTAGCGTTATCATAATGTTAACGAGTGTTTAGTTTAAAAAATTATTATAATTTGCTAGAGGTCCAGAACCCCAGAAAAACTGAACCCCAGCTAAGACGATGGTTAAACAGATTCATGAATTTCTCTTAGGTTCTGTTGGGTTCCTGAAACCTGTTGATGCATCTGATATCCTCTATCGTTTTGAATCTGAGTCATAGTATCAAAATTTGCATCAAAATTTTTTTCCGTAATATCGCACAGTAGTTTCAGAGACTGCGCAGCATCAATTCGCATGCGCATAATAAATGGACATTGATTAGACACAAGAGGCCATGATTTTATGGATATCCATCTCGTGTCTTCTTCCGTTTACTAAGCTATTTTTTTTACAAATATTCTTTGAGACTTTTATAAAGGTTGTATTTTCAACTGAGTAAAAGTATGATCTTGATTTGTTTTGCATCTTCAAAATTAAATAGTAAGTTTTTACTAATTTGCGAAAGAACAAAAATTTAACAATGATCGCTTCCTGCTGTTTTCTTTAAATTAATTTCTAAACTAGGAAGTTTTAAACAAAAAATCTCTGGCCTGTCAACACTCCGGGCATAATCCCATCTGATTAATAGTTATGGGGTTTTGATTTTGCAGCGACTCACTGCAATAGCCCGAACTGATGACATGCATAAAACAAATTTCCGTAATATCGCACATGAGTTTCAGCGGCTGCAGCATCAATTCGCATGCGCATAAAAAGCTATCTAGGAAATGGTGGTAAACATTTCCATAATCAGTTTTTTTAAAAAGTAATAAGAATCACCATTTAGCCTTCCACTTTGTACATGCGTCAATACATTAGGAAATGACAGCCATTTTAAAAGTATCATCGGTTAAGAAACACAGAACGCGTGCAATTTGCTATAAAAGACGACAACTGCTGCTGCTGCTGAAAATCTTCAAACAACATATCGATTGACACCGTCAACAATGAATGACGAAAAATTTGTGTGAGAAAAAACGGTTTTTGATGTTTTAGGCCTCTAATAAACCAAATTAAAAAAACTCATGATTTGTTATATCATGCTCTGTTATATCATGCTCTGTCCAAATTACAGAGGTTTTTGCCACTAAGCATTTGCAGGGGAACATATAATGGAAACGGTTTCTTTTTTGTCATGAAAAGCCGTTTTGATTCGATAACAAGGATAGATGGGCAGAAAGTTATTGATTTTCACAAAGCCGATAACAAAAAACAAATGCGAGGCAAAGACATCACTGGGTTAAACACGGAAAGATGGCTTGGGTTGGTATCGCCGATAGTTTTGAAAGATACAACTTTAAGTTGTTCGCCTTTGACAAATAAATTAAGTTTTGCGTTTTTACTTTTTGCCATTTATGCTACAGTACCCCAAAATTTGGATTTTTTATAGCACAAAAACACAACTTCGTATATACTGCACCAAGTGAGCAATTATTGTAGAAAAAATGAGTTTTTTTGTCTTCCTCTGTTTACCGGTTATGTCGACGGTTGATCATATCTGAGACCAGGTGAAACGGAATTTCCAAGAATTCAGCCAAATCATTCAAAAAACGTAGGCAAACTGAAATTTACACTCAGATATGTGTTATCGAACTCCTCAAAAATTGATAAAAATTTGTAAGGATTCAAAACCAGGTCGAAAACAGACTTCCATATGTTCATTGAGGCCACCTGTTTGCTATAAAAAAGCAATAAAAACAATTTAAGGAAATTGACTAAAAATTGTCGTCAAAACTTTTAATGTCGTTTTTCCCCCACTGTGTAGACAAAAACTAAAAAGAAAAGCTCGAATTTGAGTCAACTTTTCTAAAATTGGTCTGAATAAAAAAGTCACCTATTTATAATTATATTTATACCAACCATTCATATTCCTCACTTTTTTGAAAATCGGAACAATAATTAATCATGATAACGCCACATCTGTTAGTATATTTTCATAGCAAAGCTGATTTTGCGTGGAAATGTACAAATCCGCTCGCAAATTTTCTTGCCACTAGTTGACAGTACCTCAATACTTTAAACACGGAGTGCAGCCTGTATTTAGACAACCGCGTATTCAAACTCGTCAGTATTTAGACAAATACTATATGAACCAATCAGAATCGAGAAAAGACATGATTAATCCAAAATAAATAACAATTATATATTAATTTCTTCTTTGTCTCGATTCCGATTGGTTGAAACAGTATTTGTCTAAATACTGACGAGTCTGAATACGCGGTTGTCTAAATACTGCTATGTAACCTTTAAACACGCATTAGTTAGTCAATTTGGCTGATTGTACGTGTAAATTTACAAAACTGGGTAGAAGATTTGCCGCCATTTGCTCGTAGTAACTCAAATTGTTAACCACTCATCTGTTATCACATTCTTACGGCAAGCTGGTTTTGCGTAGAAATGTACAAACTCGAGAACAAAATTTGTCGCCACCAGTAATAACGCCGTTCAAAACCTTTTTCAATTTTGCGATGCTTTTTAATAAGACGAGAAGGACGTTTTCACTAAAAAACCGCTATTTGAAGTGAATTTGGTTTTATTTTTACCTGAAAATTTTTTCCCCTGGTTTTTTTCCTAAACAAAACTGGATCATATCAGTTCTATGTTGAAAACCAGTTTACCAATTTGATTCAGTATGTCAGTCAGCCTTGCCTAATAACTGAGGAGCAGTTAAACTTGCCTACTGTTTGACATTTTTGGACCAGAGGCACTTATAATAAGGGTAAAGCGTTTACTTTTAGATTGTCAGAGCGTGTAATCGATCCCATATCATCCCGATTCGAGATTTGAACGGGTTGAGCGCTTTTTCCAGCAAGATTTGAGCGATTTGAGCGGTTTGGGCGTTTTATTTTGGAAAATCCGCTCAAACCGCTCAAATCTTGCTTCAAAAAACCGTTCAAAAGCCGACCGACTCGACTCATTGTTTCGACTTTGAGTTCGACTATAGGGCTTTCTCGACTATGGATTTTCGGTCGAACTCTGACATATGGTCGTAACAGAGTTAGAGGCAAGCATTAGGACGCAGTTAACCGACCAACGATTTTATAAAAAGTGGATAATTAGTCTTAGTTAAGAGTGAGATTCGGCGTTTTATAAGTTAGATTCGGCATCATTAAACCTATGGCTAAGACTCCTCGTCTGCTTTCAAAATCTAAGCTGCTTTTGATGTTCCGACTTTGGAATCCGAGTCGAGATTTTCCACCTTATATGAGACAAAATTTGAGCGACTTGAGTAGTTTGAGCGGTTTTTTAGACAATGTCGCTCAAAATGATGCTTCATATTGAGCATTTTTGAGCGGTTTATCTAAAAAAAAAACGCGCAAAAAACCGCGCAAAAACCGCGCAAACGGTTTTTGGGCGGTTTATCTAGAAAAATTGCTCAAAAACCGTTCACATCTTGCGCAGTTTTTGAGCGTTTTTTTAAGATAAACCGCTCAAAAACCGCTCAAACCGCTCAGTATGAAGCAAGATTTTGAGAGCAATCGTCTCAAAAAACCGCTCAAACCGCTCCAATCTTGCTTCAAATTAGGTGAAAAATCTTGACTCGGGATGGCAATTATAGTGTTTGAGGATGAACTCGCACTTGTCCTCTAGCTTCAGGTCTACCACAGTCTGATCAATTTCGGCTGCAATAATGGAACCACTATAGACGCCAGAAAACGGCCTTGAGTCGCAAAAAAAGAGATTCGCTCAGCAAAATAACACATTCTGGATTATGGGGAGATAATACGAATAGACTATCCTCGACAGAACTGTTACGGCCTACTGATAGCTCATCTGCGATGCACAGGAACCATATTATTCTATTTGCAGAAAGTTTCCATTTTTTTCTAGACATTTTCAAGTAAGATTTTAATGGAGATGCCCTAATAGAGATTTTTTTGTTCCGTTGAAAAATAAAGGAGCTTTTTTTCATTCATCAGTAACAAAAATCGGATATGTGCTCTGTGCTTGACGAATGATCAAAAGAATGCTTAACTAAAGTTTCTTAATTTTGGTAAAAAAGCAGTTCTCCGCCAGGCAACTGAATGTAACTTCACTTGTTTTTTTCTGTTGTGGATAATACTTATTTTAAATCTAAGAATCTATTTCTTAGGAAGGATATTAATTTTAACTTCATCAAGCCATTTTACAAGGATCTGAAAGTTACTCTTGTGGAACGGCAAAACAGAGTCTAACCTTTATATTAATTGAGCTGGTGTATATACTTTAAGTATACTCACCTCTAAGGAGATAAATTCTTTTTGGATAGGCAATCTTTAGACTAAAAAGTAATAGCACGCATTCTATTCCAAACATGCCCCTGTCACAATAATCGCCCAAAAACAAGTACTGACTAGTACCGTCAACATGGCCAACGGGTCCTCCGATTTCAAAGAGCCGTAACAAATCGTAAAACTGGCCATGGATATCCCCGCATATAGTAACAGGCGACGCAATTTGCAGAACAGTTTCCTCTTTTTGCAAAATTCTTCGCGTCATTTGCAAAATTTTCACTACACATTTGTCATGTAATCGACCTTCATTTTTCAAATGGGTTCTGAGTTTTTCCAATTTGGGAATCGATTTACTGTCGAACATTTGCTCCACAGTTAATTTGTCTCGAGGAAGCGGTCTTGGTGTAGGTTGTCCGCCAGAACTTTTAGCAGTTCTGGAAGTTTGGGCAGTCGAAGGACGCTCCATGTCCAACAAGGATTGAAAACAATCAAATCAAATTTTCACATTTTTTGTAGATTGGAATTTTTGAACGTTGAAAGCAAGAAAAGTTTTCACACTAATTTCACATGGTGTAAAAAGCATATTTCAAAGAATTATTCTGATCACGACTTTACTAAAAAGAATAGCAGGCTTCTTAAACCTAAGTAATGCTTATCAAGTTATGGGTATATAACGGCTTTTAATTAAATATTCCATTTTTCAAAGTTATATAAGTAAAAGAAGCTTGTCGTAGGTAATTTAATCATATAGCGGAACTACAGATCAATCTACTTCTTCAAGGTCAGATGTTTTGTAATTTGCCACAGGAGGCTGCGTGACGAAGTATTGGCCGAATACACTGAGTTTGCCTCTTTTAGAAGAAATATGTGCTCTGAAATTCAAGCTTGGCTTCACTGGCCAAACCTTCGGTACCTTTATTTTTGCCGAAGTTTTAGCTGCCCTCGGATTCCGCTGTGCGAAGTGAAAGCTTTTAGAGGAGGAAGGTAACGGTCCGCAGTCAAAGTATTCAGTGGTTTGAGAATGCGTTTTCGACCACTTCCTGGAAAATTCACTTTTCCAGCTCCCTGACATAACAGTCTGAAGGTCGCTACAGCTAGACGATTCTAAAAAGATTTTTTTTGTGGTTCTAGTAGTTTACTTTAAGCTTTATTTTGCTGAAACGTCGAAGATTTATGGGTGGGGGATGGGGAGGAGGGTACGGACGTACCTACTCTATTTATCTCTTATTTTTCGGGAAAGCACTTAGATCTGCCATTAATTGATTTTCAGGAATAATTCAGAATACATAAAATACTTTTCTTATAAATAATCTATAGAGATTTATACCACCATAACCGCCCACAAATAAACCATTACCTTTACTCATTCGTACAACCACACGTACAATATACAATTGTCCATACACACTTAGCCAAACAACTTTTGTTAATTACTCGACCACACATACCTTTACGCAAATCAATAGTAAAATCCAACCAACAGCCATACATAACATACATCCATGTAAAGGTCCATACACGCAACTACACAAAACTACATCCATGTAAAGGTCCATACATGCAACTGCCCACGCGTATATATATATATATATATATATATATATATATATATATAGATAGACTTAAAGTCGAAAAAAACAATCATGAAAGATGATGGAAGTTAAAAGTCAAATGACTTCAATCAAACACATAATTTTGAGGCCCCTTGAGGTTTTTTGTTTTGCGTCAAATGACTCCAATCAAACACATAATTTTGATATTTTTGTTTTGCTATCTGATAACAATTTGATTTTTTGCAATAGGGCTATTTTTATCAATAGGGTGATATTCAAATTTTATCATTCTACGTTTATAGAGTCTAATTGAATAAGTACCACTCAAATATTTTCAAATTTTTGTCGGTTTTCATTTGTTTAGCTAACTTTTGGCCCAAATGGCAGTTTTTAGCTAAGACACTAAATGTAACAGTACCATTCGGAAAAAAACCCAAAAAATGGCGTTATCTCACGATAACGTAAGATTTTTCTTTATATAGAGTTAGTTTTTTTTTCAACGCAAAATCGTCAATGAAAACTAAATTAGTCGTCGCTTCACTGATGTTGAAAAGTAGTTTTCGATGGCCATTAAAATCAGTAAGATAGTCTATGTAAAACACTGACTTATTGATGAAAATGTATTTTGAATGAACTAGTGTAAATTATATAAATTGTATAAAGTATATAAGTTGTTAAATGGGTAGTGCGACAATTCGTAACTGGCGACTATTCGTATCAAGGCTATGGCAAGTAGCGTACTCTTCGCTCCGCTGCGCTTACATCCTGCACGAGGGGAATACGGCGGATCAGTGTTCCGCGCTTAATCTACCGTTACAAACTGTCGCCTAATACGAACTTTTGCCCATGCGAATTGTTGCGTGTTACGAATTGTCGATTCATGGTTATATGCATTCAACAAAATCGCCGTTCCAAAACTTTTCCTCCACAAGAACATTTGTTTCGATTTTTTCCTGTCGTCGGGTACCTTCTTTGAACAAACCTAACTCAATTGATCTGAAAATTGTTTTGGTTAGTTAGATTTCTTCAATTACAGTGACTGACATATTTAAATGCCACATAATGGCTAGTGTTGAACTCTTTGTTAGTTTTTTCTGAGAGATTAAACAAAAAACTTGAATTTAAAGTAAATCTTTCGAGCAAATCATTGAAAAAATTATCTCAATATTTACTCCGACCTCTCACTCCATTCCTAAATTGGATATAAGGAACTAAGTCGTAGGTTAGGTTTTTTCACCCAATATCAGGCATAAAGAAAGCTAAAACTATTATTCGACCTGCAACCATTCTGTTGATATTTCATAAGGAACGCTCGTCAAGTGGGAGACACCTTACGAGGACAAACTGTGCATTCTGTGCATTGTAAACGGATTCCGCAACCAGCCAAAATCAGATTGGTTGCCGAATCCGCAACATTTCTACTTTTCTTTGATCTTCTTTGCTGTTTTGGATTCCACAAACAAAAACTTAAAACCTCGTACCGCTCAAAATCGCTTCAAAAATGGGCAAAAATTGCGCAGTCCGCAACTGTATTTGCGGAAACGAGAACAGTTTGTGGAATCCACAAACAGATAATAAAACAAGTGTATACTTACAGTGTGCTGTTGCGGAATCCGCAACTGTAAGCGGAATCCGCAAATTGTAAGTGGAATCCGCAAATTCTAAATGGAATCTGCAAATTGTAAGTGGAATCCGTTTGTAAGTGGAATTTTGTTTGCGGATTCCACTTATATTTGCGGATTCCACGTATATTTTGCGGAATCCATTTACAGCTGCGGAATCCAGAACAACTAGCTATATTTGCTTGTTGTGGATTCCGCAACTATACAAATGTGCCGACAAAATTCACAAAACTGTGTGCCTATCCAGTGCACAGTTTGGCATCGTAATGCATGTTTTTTGGTGACATATTAAAATCCTATTTGTCATGATTCAGATTCCAAAAAAAAATAGAAAAAGTAGCATGAGTGCTGAGAAAAAGTAGTATGCTAATAATACCACTGATTAAAGGCTGATTGAAGGCTGACCTCTTCATTTCATTCTTCTATAGAGTTAAGGTTTTTCGGCAATTACTACGGTTCAAACTTTCACAATGAATAAATATTTGTAAGGACATTTTATAAATCGAATTATATTGAATAAATGGGAGCATGCTCCTACCCATATAAATATTTTTGTTACAAAAGACCAAAACATAATTGTACGTCAGATGGAAGAGAATTCGGAATTTTCTCCGGCTTAACCGGCTATTTTTCGTATTTTTCTCCACCGAAGACTGTACCAAAATTCATAAATTGAAGACTATTATTATCGATTATTTCGTTGTTCCGGTTAAACACATTTGAAATTATTTGTAAAACGTTAAATTATGTAGACATACAAACACCACAGCAAAGAAATACACAACACTGAAATTAAAATAGAGAAACTTTGATTGTATCGTTTTAATTTTGAACACGACACTACGCTATTTAAGCTATTTATTTTTCAGCTCCCCGGTGACTTCTTGGTTTTTCTCTGACGAAGATGATGACGAGCTGCTATCTGAGTCCACATCTATGATCTCCTTGACCCTATCTTTGGGGTCATTGACCTTTCCAGGGGGCATTGCCTCATTGATGGCATCGAACTTCTGGGCCTGTTCGAAACTGAGTCTTTTCTTCTGGCCTAGCAGTTGCAGTTCAATGCTGTCTCGACTTCGACTCAGAGTTCCCTGGGGTAGTTTTTCGTCTCCACTTAGACCACCTGTCAAATGATTGGAGCAAGTTAACATCCTCTCCCCTCTAGCGTTTTAGAGGGTTGGTTGGCTAAAGTTGTTTCCAGGATTCAGTTAATATAAGAAAAATTACAATTTTTCAAGTGGTTTGGTTATTTATGCAAAATTGATTGCAATTTTGATGCAAATTTCATGACGATTTATTCACAAGGAAAACGACCAGCATGTGAGCTGTTCAATTTTTCGCTGAGAACCGCTGCTGCACCCCTGCTTAAGAAATGCATGCAATTGTTTGGCTATTTTTCTGGACTGAGTTTTTTTGTTACTTTTCTACTTCTTGAAGTATGTTTTACACATAAACTTGTACACGCATTCTTTAATTTTCTGTTTAGCATACAGTTTATCATCACGCAGTAGCAGTACTCACTATACGGATGTACAGCCAACCTCTGGTGTTAAATCATTATTTATTGGTACGCTCAAGGTCATACATAAGTGATGACACTGAGACTAAGTGAGAGATCAGAGTATTGAATAACGATCTATCTCTCAGTCATAAGAAAACAAAGAAAAGAAAAATCTAAATTCAATCTTCTGAATAAAAGTATTGAATTACAACTTGTTTTCAATTGGATATCGCAACGCATATCACATGGCGCAGCCAGCAGGATTCGCAGCTCAAGACAACAGAACGGATATGGGAATCCCGGTATTTTGGGCATCAGCGAATCTAGACCCTCCGTGGCAGTTTAAAATCTGGTTCGAACAATTTCTCATGGCGGTTACGGTAAAAGAAAATGTAAACCCAGAGATTATTTTGGAAGAACCAAAAGACATATTAGAGGAACCACCACCACGCCCGGAGACGCCCAGGGATGGGGAGAACGAAGATGCAAGGAACGCTAGAATCCTTAGAGATAAACTAGCAAGAGACAGAGTAACATTGGAGAACGAAGAGAAAAGAACAAGAGGCCCAAGAGTTGGACACAATGTCTTCTACAACGAAGTACAGAAGAAACTGGTGTCACGACTATTTCTATCTTTGGGCACTGAGGGAAAGAAAAGATTCCTACAAAAGAATCCGCACGCAGAAATATCAAAAATGACGTTCAGAGAAGTAACAGATCTGGCAGAAGTCTCGTTTCAAAAAGTGAAATGTGTAACCTACGAGAGATACAAGTTATTTACGAGAATGCA